GCTTATTGTCGCCAAATTTTGTCATTTCACTCGTATGCTAATAATTTACGAAATGTTGGAAAGCTAGTCAGTAATAAAACACCAAGGACTGCAGACGGTTAGATCAAAGCAAAATATGATGAGTTTCAGGCAATGCATGTCGTTTTTGAACATTTTCGATTTGGATTTTCCTCTAAGGCACCATCAAAATCCATGTTTCGTCAGTTGTATGATAGCCTTTGGCAACCGATCTTAACAAGAATCGCAAAAACTAATCAAACCAGCTGCAAAAAGAGTATGTAACCTATAGACAGCGAAGCCAATTTTTGAAAAATTAACAGATCGAGCGCATTTAGAATGATAGAAAAGTGTGGCTTGTTTCTTCACGTCAAATTTGTCATGTTACTAAAAACTCAGGAAGTGTTGCAATTTCAATACTAAATCGTGAAGGCGTTTGAGCTGTATAAGGTCTACCTAGTCTTCATCAAAACATAATGGTTCATGTAAATGTTGAGCAGTGTTATCGCCGACCTGTTCAGTTCCGTCACTGACCTCACAATTCCATTAGAATTGAATTACTCATTCTCTGGCCCTAAGAAAGGCGACAAAACGTAATATGTAATTTTCCATGTTATAGTATAATTATATCATTCTTCGAGCCCTTACTCGTGAAAGCAGAATATCAGAACCTGTGAAGAGTGTCGATTTTGAGTCCTGGGTATACTTAAACCAGCAGATCTTGTGGATCCGTGTATCCTTCGTTAAGCACTGAACAACCTGCGTTATCGGCAACCAGTATACATAATATTTCTCTGTAGGCCAATAAATTTACCAGATATCATCATGAGTAGTAAGATCGCTTAACACGCTTTTTGTTGTATATCTTTCGCCAGTACATTAGCCTTCCACAACAAAAATTTCTCCCTGAAACAATTAACATTCTTCGGGGCAAGAAAAATTACTCCGGTTTGTATTTCAAAGCAATGATGGTACACCAGTTATGGCAAATTACTTAGACATTGCTCTAAAACAAGAACCACTAATATAGATCAAACAAACTTCGAGATGTTTAAGTCTAATGTAAACTAGCTACAGTTAAGACAATTTTCAGCAAAAAGATACATTAAGGGCATCAGAATTATACTAACATTTGGCTTGCTTCTATTTTCCAAATTTTGTCAACTTACATGTGTTAGGAGTTACAGTTATAATTTACGAAATGTTACAATTTTCGCATTAAAAAATGAGGGATTTTTTAGGTATTCTAAATCAAAGAAAGTCTTAGATTTATTCTCAATGTGGTTCTCTCCTTCCCCCCGCTACCACCCCTCCCCCCGCCAAGGTAATATCGGAATCCATGTCTCTCGACTTTGATAATTCACAATTGGCTCATGCTTTAGCGTGCACTATCGAGTTATGGAGCACGCGGGAAGTTTGGAGAGCACGAAAGAAGCGTAAGAGTTGCCCGAGGCGATAGCCGAGGGCAACTCTAGCTTCTTGAGAAGCTCTAGCTTCTTCTCTAGCTGAGAGCATGAACCAATTGTTTTAGAACATATCCGGTGGAACTGTGCATCAAATCCGACGCGAAAAACGGACAACAACATTAGTTGAAGCGAATCGCTTCTTGAGCTTCTCTAGCTTCTTGAGAAACTCTAGCTTCTTCTCTAGCTGAGAGCATGAACCAATTGTTTTAGAACATATCCGGTGGAACTGTGCATCAAATCCGACGCGAAAAACGGACAACAACATTAGTTGAAGCGAATCGCTTCTTGAGCTTCTCTAGCTTCTTGAGAAACTCTAGCTTCTTCTCTAGCTGAGAGCATGAACCAATTGTTTTAGAACATATCCGGTGGAATTGTGCATCAAATCCGACGCGAAAAACGGACAACAACATTAGTTGAAGCGAATCGCTTCTTGAGCTTCTCTAGCTTCTTGAGAAACTCTAGCTTCTTCTCTAGCTGAGAGCATGAACCAATTGTTTTAGAACATATCCGGTGGAANGGAAGTTTCCTTTCCTCTAGTTTTAAAGAGTGAAAAGGCGTGTGAACCATATCACCAAATTTTTCCCTCTTTGTCCTGCTAAAATGTTACTGTCAACAAAACGTCTCTTCTTTTAATAGTGGCCGCAACAATTTCCGAAATTATTTAATTGTTAAATATGCAACGGTTTAACACCATAGGCAGGCCGCTTTTAACTTCAATTAGATGACACAAAAATGTTATGGACTGATGGCTGCCGCGGAGATACATGTAATGCAGAAGTTGGTTTGTTCAATTTTTAACGAGTTGAGATTTGTTGCTTCGCGTGACAGGGAAATGATGAATGGCACATGCAATGACTCCCACTTTGACTTTGGCAATATGCAACCAAGTCTGGTAAATCGAGAGCTACAATGACATGCACTGGCATTCATCGATTTCCCATGCCTCTTCATGCGAAGCAAACGAATTTTACCTGACGAAAGTTTACGTTTCATAAATCAACTTCTGCATTAGCTCCATGGCATTCCTTAGTTTTAAAGTTAAAAGCGGCCCACCAACGGTGTAAAACCGTTGCATATTTAACAGTTACATAATAAGGCAATTGTTGTAGCTACTTTGAAAAAGAGAGAGACGCTTCAGTTGATGACAGAAATGGTTCAGCGGGACACAAGTGTTAAAATTGTTTTCGCCTGGGTGTTACTCGCCTGACCATTTCCCACGCTTTTTCAATCTCTAAAACCTATAAAATGAAACTGCCTATAATAGATATCTAAAATGTTTACCTTGAATAATCTCCGCGGGATCTTCCCAGGGCTAATCATTTTTGGCTGTCGTCATAGAGGGACACAACATAAAAGGACGTCAAGTCGCTCAAATATATTCATAGCCTGCTCAGTGTCATTCCACAAAGGCCTCCCATCTCTCCTAAAAAGCGCAAAGTAGTATTTAATTCATCAGGTGATTCTGAAACCATATCATGCTTCAGCCCGTACTGGTTTAAGGAGATTAATTCTGTCAAAAGGTGAATGAGTGTCGCATCCGAGTTCTCAGGGAGGCTGAGTCAATTAGGGAGTACATATCACACATCAGATCCAAAGGATTACCTTTGTCCCTCGTCAGACAAACTGCTCTATCGGCAATCAGTGTTCATATCGTTTTCTCCCCCAAAGACGGAATTGAAACATCGGAGAAAAATTGTCATACGGGAATGTTCTCAAAGGTGACCGGGTAACGCTTCATAGACTAAGAAATTACTCAAAAAGTCGGAGTGGTGAGATATCTCGAGACGCCTCTCCTGTGCACGCTATGTTTACTGCATTGAATAATTGAAAATTCATGATTTACCGAACTTTAACACTGGTGGCCTTCTTTGAATAGTCAACATCGAATAGTCAACATCTTTGGTGGAAATATATAAAATGATGTCCCTTCTATCTTCTTTTAAGAGGTAATCGAAATCAGTCCCTCGTACCCGACAATTGTTCTTGATCAACTCTGCTGACGATATTTTCTTGGTATCCATTCAGTCCACCTCGTGATGAACTTGTCTTAGTGATACTTTTATGTCCTTTTTGAGCTATTATTGGAATTACGTTTTCATTCTCGCGGGCAAGATTTGAAGCAATCAACTCCCTCAAAAGAAAATTATCTCAGTCTAAAATAAACTCTCTCCTTTGGAGGAAAAAAAAAGGAAATAGTGTAATTACCCCAGCTGGGAACCCAAGAAGTACGAAGTGGTACACTAGTTGCGGCAAATGTATTATCACTTATTACTCTACATAGGAACTGGTGAAATAATTTAAAAACAGCTGCGAAAAGTGTAAGTCTCATTTATGTAAAGTATAAGCAGTCAAGCCCATTATCGTTAATTAGATAGAGCGCATTCCGAATGGTGGAAAAGTTTGGTATGTTTCCTCTCTCTTAAAACAGTTTCCTCCTTTCACCCACAAAACGTTGCAGTTTCAGAACTCAACGATAAAGGGTTTTAGTTGGTACGGGTGGTCTAAAGTAAAGCATGTCTATCATACCAAAATGTGAAGGGCTGGTGTTATACCAGTATAACGAATTTCGTTGTTCAACATCATCAATGTGGTTTCCTCTCTATGGCAGCACAGCAAACCATATGTACAGCAAACCATATGTACACTCCAAAGTTTTTTGGAGTGTCCACACCGTACCGAGCAAACCCACCCAACGAACCTGCTCTTTTTGTTTTAAGCTGCTCAATTCCAGTCCTATTTTGTGGACACAGTCTTGAAGTTGAGCTATGTTATCGTAAACGTTTTCAGTTCCGTTAATGAACTCTTCTTTTTAGCAAGGTTGTCCTCTCTACCGACATCTGTAAGGCAGCAAATTGTTTCCCCGAAGCCGACAAATTGTTTTTTTGATAGACTAGGTATTTTGCCATGCACCACGCGTACACAACCGGGTGTAACAGGAATTTAAGGCAAATCAAGTTATCAAATCAACTATTTGAACCTTTATCGCATCAGCAGTGAATAAACCCTGCATCAGGGAAAGTCGCCATTCAGTGCCATGTGTAGGATCGAAGGCACCAAAAACACGACTATAACAATAAGAAAGACAGCATCTACACAGACACAGCTTCGCTGCAGCTTGATGTGCCCTTTCTTCTTCGCAGGATTGGAAGAGTTTTCGTTTTGTTGTGACCGTCCTACAACCATATTCTTTTCCATGGCGCAATGCAGGATGTAGGACCTAATGGTGACGAAATCAACAGCGTAGTTGTGAAGGATTAAGCCGATGACGTCTTTAAATCAGACTGATCAAAGCAGGGCGCTTTATTCCGGGAAGTCACACGTTTGATACCGCTCAGAGTCGTCCATAATCAGACTCTTCCGTCCCAAATCGAACGGCACTGTTCGAATTTCGACGCTTTCCCTTCGGACGAAAACTTACCCATTGAGCGGAGGGGATTGGAAACTAAGAAGCTAGTGCTTTGTAACCTGGCTACGATGCAACTTAACTCAGCGTCCTCGCTCTAAGTTCAGTGTCCGAAGCAACACAAGCAGATTAGAGCTACTCATACTTCATCAAGCTTCGATCTTGAACCAAAGTTCTAGATTAAATTAAAAAAGGCTATGCAGATAACTGTGAAAATACTGAATGGCCAAGAAGTGCGTCTAGAGGTAGGTCAGATTTGCTTAGAAAAAAAGAACAATGTTTCATCGTTCGAAAACGACCAAGGAAAGACAAACGATATTTCGCGAAAAGCATATTTCAATCTTTTGCTACCCTGTTCTTAAAGATTTGAGTGGTCATATGGCTGTCAATGAAGTGGCTGCTCCAAAATCGAAACGTTCACATTTATAACAGGACGAGAAACCCGTAACTGACCATGGGGTTGGGAATCTGACTGTTTGCCTTTGAAAGCCGTTCCAGGCAGCTGACATCCTTATTCGCGAATGGGACTTTAAGTGCGATACTCAACAAGTATTCTTGAACCTTCCGAAAGGTATCTGATGAGCCTTTAGGCCGAGACGAAACGCTGGATCATACTAGCCACGAAGTATTTCTCACAAGTATTTTACAATTTCTTAATCGTCGTAAAATTGAGGTTTCTCTTACTTTAAAAGATTTAATATTTGTTTTCTCCTGTTCTTTTGGCTTATTTGTAGGTCTCTGCAAGTGATCAGATCTCGCTGGTAAAAAGACAAGTTTCTGAAAAGCTTGAGATTCCCGTGGTACAACAGAGATTGATTTTTAGAGGAAAAACTTTAGCAGGTATTGTAATCATGATAGTCTTTCACATGGTAATAATTACATGTTTCAAGTTCAAGTTTTCTGAAATTTAGAAAGTAAGGACTTTTTTTTTTATGGTATGCTCCATTATTCTGTGTTAATTACATACAAAGAAAATTGTTAGAGCCCAGAGCTAACAGGGAAGTACGGACTGGAAACAGAAATTTAAACTGAGAGTAATTTTATATTATTATGCTTCAAGGTATCAAAAGAGAAAACTCCTTTATATTTTGAAACAATTGCAAGAAAGAAGTAGTGCATACAATATCAAAGTTTAAAGTTCTTACGAGGAGTTTGTTTGGATTTGATACATCTCTGGTTACCACTATTATCAATAACCCTTTGCATTCTAACATCAGTATGCATATTCTCCATACTGTTTTCTATACATTTCCTTAAGTGCTGACAAGGAGAATTAGATTAACAATCAAAAGCTTCTTGTTTGTGATAATTTCCTGTATTCTTGTGACCCTAATGTGTGATTCAGAGGTGATATTCTAAGGAGAAATTAGATGTTAGGCACTAAGCATCCCGAAAGGATCATAATTATAGGATCATCAGTTGCAGAATCCAAGGGTACAATAGTATAACATATCAAAATTTTTACAACTTTTGCAAAACCATTTTTTATTGATCACAATATCAAAGTACTTCATAAAATAACCATACAAAATAATTTTTTGATCAATTTTCATAGATAATCCATTAGAAAAACACATTTTTGTAATACCCATAATGCATTGCAGGTGTCATATTTTGATTA